AAAAAAAAAAAACAAAAAAGGAGGTAGTTTAAAAAAAAGCAAGTTGAAAAAATATATGAACAGATTGTTCTTCATAAAAAATCGCAATTATTATCTTTTTTGGCAAATCTACCAAATTTCCTCTACAAAAATAATACCCTGTGCACCAGGAGTGAATGACTGGTAGAAAACCGGTTGTGCTGGAGTGGTAGTATAATAAACTGGCTGGTAAATAAGCTGCGTTTGGGGACCAGCTGCCACCAAATACTGCTGGCCTGTAATTGGATCCACCAGTATTTGATGTCCCGCAATAGGTGTCGCACAAGCTGGATTACTAGAAAAAGTTTTCTGTAACGTCAGTGAACTACAAAAAGTGCTGAAGATTAATAAAACAACAAATTCAAAAAAAAAAAAAATTAAAAAATTGGGTAAGGGCAAAATAAAGTAAAAAACAAAATTTTCATTATCAAATTCAAAAACCAATATTATTACAACTGCGAAGACGAGACAGGAATACTCTGCGGTGTTGACGCGTCAATTCTTACAGGAGAAAGAGAAGAGGAAGAAGAATTAACAGACCCTCCTCGCGGACTATCTTGTATTTCCGCCCCCTTAAAACCGATTTTTTTGAAGCTTAAAAGGAAACAGTGAAGATGCCAAGCACTGCTTTAAAGATGAAAACCATCAGTTATTGCATATATAAACTTTTTTACCTGCATAGATGTATCGACCAAACATTTTGCTGTACTACAAGATTTTACTGAATACTTCTCATGACCATCGCTCTCGTAGCTTACTGAATCTGCGGAATTCATGGCAAAACGAACGTTGCGACCAGCATGAAAGCCTTCAAAAATTTGATGCTTAAAACCACCATCTATATCAGTGATGGTACGAATAAGAAGCATAAAATTGCTTTCAAAAAGCATGCAAAAACAACTCAAAGATCAGCAAAGAAATCAAATATAATCATTTTAGTCCTAGACCGGCCAGTCTGATTGAGCCACAGTTCATTAGGTTGTTTCGTATCAAAAAATTATAAAATCATAACTCGAGCGCAATTGAAAAAAAAAAAAAAAAACAAGAAATAAAAACTGAAGAGAATAATGATGTAAATGCTCACCAAATGTCCAGTCACAGATCATAAATTTCATTGAAGAAAGCAAGAAGATTGTTAGAGAACAAAATGCGCAAAAATTGATTCAAATGGAACATTTAAGAAGAATATAAAAAGAAAACTTTACCTCAATCAATCATACAACGGCAAATTAAAAATCAAAAAAAAAAGCAACTGAAAGAATAGAACGTGAGAAACAAAATTTGTGCCAACATCAGTTGCCGACACTGACTTCTATAAAACTTAGTTTTTTAGATTGACAACACAATCTCATTAATTATAAAACTCAGCAAACTTTAAGTACTGCTCAAGAGTAAACGTTCTCATCGTCCAAATTCCCTGTCACGAAGCAAACATTACAAACTGGCAGAAAATTAAAAATACAGGTTTCGAAACTCTAATTGGTAAGTAAACCTTCTTTTCCTTTAACAAAAATTGGATCTACAACGGAAAAATTCCAATTTCACTTTGTCTTTAAACACTTTTAACAAGATACCATGCCAAACAAGACCTTCCTACAATGATAAGATAAGCCAGTAAACAACATTCAAGAAGCACTTATTAATCATGCGATTAAATATCTCATTCAATCAGCTAATTAACGGTATAACGATCAAGCAATTGCCCTAGAAAAAAAGCACAAAGCCTTTAGATGCCTAACTATTCCAACAAATGACTCACAAATATTTTGCCTTAACGAAACCGATAAAACCCCAACTAATTTCAGAAAACCTCATGCTTAACAAAACTTCCACCCACTTAAGAATCGAAAACGTGTCAACAAAAATTATTACTCGAAATTTAAAATACCTTCCACACTTACAGACAGAAAAAGTCCGAACATCTTAACTTGTCTGTCTGACTTAATCGCTGTGTCGCCCTTCTGCGTTCAGAATTTTCAAACAATGTGAGCTGCCACAAAAACAATAAAACGTGTAAAATCCAACATTTGCTGCTAGGTATCTCTACACTAAAAAACATTTTTGGAATTAGAAGCGCATTCTTTCTAATAAGCTACATCTTCACAGTTAATGACATTTCCTTTAACGATTAAATCCTATAGAGAATGTACTAGGGTTTAGCACTTGGTGGCCTTACCGATAACACACTCATTTCATCATGGCTCATTTCTTCATGAGCAGGTTCGAACTTCCTACAGTCTGTACATTTCCAGTGTGATCTTTTAATGCAATATCTCCAATGAATAACTGTACTTTGACTTAGATAAAGCGCCTACAAAATGAGCAGAATGAAATAAAAGCAGTTTTACACCCACTGACCCTCCTCTAACTCCTTAAAGAAGAGGTGAAGTTCTAATTCATTAATATTTCATTTACCATATGAGTATCTAGCTAGCTGCCTATGCTCAGCATTTATCAACAATTGCTAGGTCTTATAAGAGTACTGCAGAAAATAAGCAAATTATTACGAAAACAATTCATAAATCTTTAAGAATGAATTTGCAGTTCAAACCCAACAAGAAAACATAGATTTTTCATATCTGTTCAAGGTAAACTCTACAACATATCCTACGCAGAAATTAACAATAAAAAAACCAAATAAAGAGTTGTACAGTGACTTGACAGCTTTACTAAAATCATGTCCTTTTCTTTCTCAAGCGCAATTTTATTTAGAGAATAGATGTTTAACTGCTGGTCATGAAACCTGAGGATAAGATCTGGAAAATTTATACAACTTCCGTTAAGTCTATTTTAAACTGAAAAAAAGAAAACGAATATTCCTCAAGATCGTCACCTAAAAAGCTATAAGCTGTATAAATGATCCATGGCAATTGTAATAATTTCGTCCTACCCACACTATCAAATAAAAACAACTTGCATCTAGTCAACTTCAAACGCAATCTTCCACTCCTCTAAGTTTTTCCACCAGTTCAGCCTTCCACTAAAGAACCAAAAAAACACCTCAAAAATTTTAAGTAATTCAGCCTTACTAAAGAATAATCGGCTACCTTTGTTTTCCTTTCCTTGCAATTTCACTATGAAGAAAGTAACGGCACACTCAAACTATTGAATACTTTGAATAATCATGCAACGAACTGGAAAGACGACCAGCATGATATCCGTCACTCCAAAATACCAGACAAAAGAATATAAAGCTTATTCAGTCCTACAAAAACAAGTATTTATACAAATCAGTTTTAAATAAGCAGACAGAAATTAATTGGCCTATTATGTTTTCGAGAAAATCTTTTTCTCATTACCTCTTCTGCAACTTTTTGGTTTATACAATGGACGCTTTAATATATTTCTGGAGCAAAAATCTAACCAATCAAGTAAGTGTTTACTCTCCCAAACCTCTACGTGCTCTCAAACAGGAGATCTGATTCCTGTTCTCTACAACCACACTAAACAAATCAGTTACCAGAGGAAAAAACAATAAAAAGAAAAAAAAAAGCTATGACAAATTATGGACTCAAACTTAAACTTCACTTCACCCAAAAATGTAAAAGCAAAACTAGTTTGAAATATATAAAGCCAGCAACTTTGATTAAATGCTTATTCTGATCATTCAACTGGGGAAGTGAAGTCATAAATAAAAATAACAACCAAAAAAAAAATCCCTCAAGAAAGTAAGCTAGTAAAAAGGCACTGACCCTGAGTCCTGCACTTACCTCAGCCTTTTATATGCATTTCCCCACTGGAAAAGAAATAATGATAAAAAACTCTGAATTATTGAAAAAAGCAAATAGCTAATAAATGCAACGATACAAAGAATTTTTACAACTATCAGAAAAAAAATTTGCGTCACTCTGCTCTTCCACACCTCTAATTACCATCCTGCTCACAACTGCACTTCCAGGAAGTCCCTGTCATTGCTTCAAATAGTTTGGATTTTTCAAAGAACCAACAAACATTTGGAAGATCCGATGTAATCTCCGATATTATATAAGTAAATAGTAGTCACTAAAGTATACTCAAGCAACGGAGAATAAAACTGATATCTGAACCTCAAAAAAATACTGTCTTTAAAATCTTTAATTCGAACGTAGAAGAGATCTGCAAAACAGTAAAGAAAAAGAATAATAAGTATCTTAAAAAACTGGGAAAACCCAGTTGCAACTACTAAAGGAGAAAAACTGTGTTACTGTCAAAGTTCACTGTTCACTCCTCCAAGCACTACATCCCTAATTTCCAGTTTTTTATTGAAATTTTAGCTAATAACCAGTAAAATACTCATAAAGAGAAAGTTGAAAACCTTCACACATACCGCCACAAGCAAAATGAAAGTAACAAAAATTAAGAAAATTTAACAGAACAGTCAAAACACATAACAAAACAATGACATAAAGTCGGAAGAACTCGTATGCCAAAAGCATCAAAGATGTTGCTGTATTGATCGCAGAAGAACGATAAATTGACTAAGTTGTGCCGTTACAATGAATCATTGAAAAAAAAACATAACTCCCCTTTTTCTATTTCTTTGCAACCACCCATTGTAAAAGAACAAAAAAT